TGTGTTTTTCCTTTGTGTTCCAGCAATAATGTGTCATAGATGCCTGGTGTCATGCTGATTTTTATTTTTCTGTGAGTGACCTGCTTTTCCTCTATGAGGACATTTAGAATCTTCTTTGCAACTTTTAAGCTAGACCAAACAGGCATAGGTATTTGTTATTAAGAGAGATGATTATACAGGACGAAATGTAGCACAAAAGTACGGGGGGGGGGGATTTGCAAAGGAACCCTGGAGCATCTGAGAGTCAACTCTCAAACCTAGCTCTTGCACTTATCAACTTGAGAGGTGTGATACAGGTTACAGACCTAAGTTGTTTTTTGGCCTCTAGCATGAAATAAAGATGTTGACACCTACCTCCTAAGATTGCTGGGAAGATGAAATTTGATACTATAAAAAACTGTTTGAGAAACTATTTTGATAGCTGGTGTGTTAGTCAGCTTTCTGCCATGTGACAAAATAACTGAGAAAATCAACTTCAAAGGAGGATATGTTTATTCTAATGTTTTCAGAGGTTCCAGGACATGATTCCTTGGCTTTGTTGCTTTGGTGCTGCGATGGAATCGTGTGTCATGGCAGAAGCACATGTCAGAGAACTCCTATTTGTATCATGTCAGCCTAGAAGATTTCAGTATGTCCTTTAAGGCCACAATCCCACTGACCTACCTTCTTTCGCTAGACGTGTCTCATATGTTCTGCCACCACCTGGTCACACCACAGACTGGCAACCAAGCTTTTGGTAGATGGAACTTGGTGGGGGGGAGGGGGGGTCCATTCCAGATCCAAACCATGGCAAGTAGGGAGAATTCCTTAAAAGGAGTAAGTTCACTCTTTTCTAATTTTATCAAAATGATTTGCTTTAAATAAGTAGATATAGGAAAAAGTGCTGCATAGAGTGTTCAGATAACATGAGGAAGAGAAATGCTACTTTTCATATAAAGGGTGACAGAAATATTTAATACTGGGAAACAGGGAATGTGGAAAAAACTTACCGCTGAGCTAGGGCAAATACTGCTGGAAAACTAATCAGTCAAGACTCACCTCTCTTCGCTACTGCTTTAACTAAGCAACATTAGTATCTACAGTGAAGAAAGCTATTAACATGTGCTCTGAGATATAAATCCCCTCTGATATCCCTTTTGTGAAATCATACTTTAATTATACACTTCTCAGTAATTTTTCTATGCAATTGGCTGGTTATTGAGGCCAACTCAAAGGTGAGTAATGTGTGTAAAACACTTAGCATAGAAGCTAGGCACACAGCAAGACCCAAATACATCTTGCTTGGTTTAAAAATATTTTTAAATTGAAAAATAACAATTGAATGTGTTTATGCTAATGTTCTTAATATTATAATAATAAATTAAAACTATAACAGTGCACAATCTTAAAAATGTAGTGAAAACAAACTATGCCTTGTTTCCTAGTGGATAATTATAAATCAGATTTTTCATCTTCATAATTTTAAATGTGGCCAGTCTGAATTTGAAATAAGAAGACAGGATGAGAAGGAGTCATAGGCCAGTGAAACTGCCTCTCCTCTGTCAGGATCACTTTCCAAAAGATTAGGTCCTCAGCAGAATGGGGAGTTTTGACAGACGGACACCTCTCTACTTATGGCAATATCTTTCTAGCATTTTTAAAACAGTCCTCTTCTACCCTCCCTCATACAGTGGTTCCAGCTTCATCCTTAGTGAAGTCATCCAATAAGACAACATATGCAAGGAAGTTGGATACTTATGGGACAACGTGTGAATGCTAATTTCCTCCATTTATTCTCCCCTGCCCAAAACAATAATATAGCATTTAATTTTTCATGTCAATTAAGTTTGACTTTTGTTTTAAAAGTTGGGTACTTGCAACTATAGAAAAGATTAAACAACCAAGAAGACGGGCTATGGATAATTGCAAAAAAAGGATTGACTGTTATATACCTTCAAAACTGAAAACTGTGCATTAAAAAACCATGCATTTGAAAACTTCAGAATTGTGCATCAGTGACATAAAGTGAGCACTCTGTTGTGTCAAGAGCACTGAATGAGATACTGCGCTGCTTTTAAAGGAATAAGAGTATGTGATTCCTTTAAAAAAAAGATATCCAAGATAAAGATAGTCATGAGCAAACAAAATTCAAATACCTTAAAAAATACAAAGAATAAACATAATCTCAAACATAATAATTATAGAATACTTTGCCTATAGTTTTGTCATAAATTGATACTCATTTTATGTAAGTGAAAACAAAAATTTTCTTCCAAAGTCTTAACATCAGTTTGGTAATAATTATCTAATTTTTCAAAATATGCTAAAACTATTTTACATGCTAAAGGATTTAGTTGAGCGACTGTGAATCAGAAATCTGTCATTTTTTTTATTGGTACATTTTAGGTATACGATTCATTTACATTTATCATTGGGTGTTTGTACCAGTACATGAAATATCTTGGTTCTTATTTTTTTCCCTATTACCTGTGCACCCTTCACCTGCTCCACCCTTCCCTATTTACATAGATTTCATTTCCATTTTTTTCTCATAGTTTTTCCTTTCCCTCTTTTCCTTTCCCCTTCCCCTCCCTTCACTCCATTGTTGGTGGGAGTGCAGACTGGTGCAACCACTGTGGAAGTCAATATGGAGATACCTCAAAGAACTAGGACTAGAGGTCCCATTTGACCCAGCTATTCCCCTGCTGGGTGTCTTCCCAAAAGAATTAAAAGAATCATACCACAATGATATACATGCACCCATGTTCATAGTGGCACAGTTTGTAATAGCTAAATCTTGGAAGCAGCCCAAGTGCCCATCAACTGGAAACTGGATAAAGAAAATGTGTTTTTTTAAATAAAATGGAGTACTACTCAGCCATAAAGAATGAAAAACTAGAGTCATTTATAGCTAAATGGATGCATATCGAGGCCATACTCTTAAGTGAAATAAATAGGACACACGTGTAAATACCGAATAGTTTCTCTAGTGTGAGAAACTGATAGTGTAAATAAGAGTTAAAATGATTTAAATGAATAATTGATAATTTGAAATAGGAAAAAAGGTCCAAAGAAATCTGTCTTTTTTTATGCTGCTTCATTTGTCTAAGGTTATTGTGTAAGTAATATGTGATAACTTTTTCCCCAGATACTCATTTAAAAATGACATTGTTTGGTGAAATTACTCATTTTCATTTTCATCACTAAAAAGCATAATGCAATGCTGCTTAGCCTCTTATTCTAGCATGTATGAGAGTACTGAATGAGTTTCTTTAATTTCTCTTTCCTACTGGACCATCATTTTTGGGGGGCAGAGACTGTGTGTTGTCTATTTATTGTAAGTTCCTGGGACCATTTTTAAAGTATGATATGGGCTGAATAGATTTTATGAAGTGAATAAATGGTGAATGATACTGCATTAGATATTGTCTAAAGCTAGAATTCAGAAGAATTTGAAAATCAATGACTTAAAATTCAGTGTACTCAAAAACTGAATTATTAAGAGGGAAAATCTAGTAGAGACTATTTTCAATCTATGTGGATAGGTGCATTTTGGCATCTTAACTGTCTATCAACTCCTTAGTTCATAAGATAAAAAATAAAATAAAATAAAGTCAAATAGCTAGAGAGTTTGGGGCTAGCTGAGCCTAGTGACCTTTTATAAGCACAATGTATTTTTATAGTGAAAGAAGAACTGAATCCTTCCAACATACCCTGATTCCAGCAGACTTAAATAAAGTTGTCCATTCTTTAAAAGTTTTTTACATTTCTGTCTTTCTAGACTTTGACGTAAATTTCCATTTCCCAAAAGCCTTGATGCTGATTGTTAATGATCTTGTCCACGTGACAAACATTTTTTTTTTTTGTTTCATTGCTATTAGTGAATGACACGTAAAGGATATTCATTTCGAATTGAAAATGTCAGGTATGCACTTTAAAAGATATATTTTTTGCAGCTCTTAATGAGGTGGTGTTTCTTTTTGAAAGAAACACTCATCTCTGATGCGGACGCTCTGCAGATGACAACTGATATTTAATAAGCGATGGTTCTTGTATTAGTTGCAGTTCACTAAAGAAAATGTCTCAGATTGCTTTTGAAAAACTCTTAGCATCACTAGCCCAAAGGCAAGATGTGACCTTTTTATTACATAATGAGAATCATTTATTATCTTACAATGTATCTTAAAGTCACAGACAAAATGCCACTTTGATAATTGCTTTCAATTAGCTTTGAGCATAGCATATATTCATAAAATGTCTTCTCTAATTTAGAGTTGAATTAGAGAAAATTGCAGACATAATCTACTTTAAGGTTGTCTCATTTAAGGTGATTCGTAGTTTTATATCAAAGAAATCAAAACGAGTAGCTTTAGAACACTCTCTCCAAGTGTTTTGAAGAGGCTTTTCAATATTTGATTCTATTCTATTACCAATTAATTAACAAATTAGAAAACTAGTTCATCATTTATGACCTTTTGTGCATGTTAACTTTTGACTTCCACTCTTAATGATTGTTTTAAAATTAAGCCATGCAGTTCATGTGGAAAGAGAGAAACAATCTGATTAGCCAGATGAATAAAGCCTGTCTGATACGAAGTACATCTTAATGTTGGCCATAACTGGAACTCTAAATCCTGTAATGACACATGTTTTCCTGCTTTCAATAAATAAAACATAACTAAAGATCAAGAAATTCTACTGGATAATCATGTAGCCTAAATAAAGAGTTTGGAGATATTATACTACTCCAAGTGAAGTTAGAGATAACATGACATTTAAAATGGGACTGCAGCTAAATTTTATTTTTTTTTAGTATCCTTAGCACTGAAATATTATTTAAATGCTTATCCTTTTCTCTTAAAAGTATTTTTTGAAAAAAAAAGTATTTTTGAAATAAGGAAACTCTGAAACCAGATTGTACTCTTGGGCTGTTTCAATGACTCACAAAATATTATTAATCAAGATTTGCAGAAATTGCTTTATAGCTGGAGATTACTTTTTCTCTCTGTCTTTTTTCCTAGATAAAAATTACACACAAGAACCAAGCCCCGATGCTGATGGGCCCTCCTCCAAAAACTGGGTTATTCTGCTCCCTCGTCAAAAGAACAAGAACCCGAAGCAAAGAATAACCCCCCCTCGTTTCATTCTTAGAAATCCAATTAGCATAATTGGGCCATAGAACACTTGTGCTGGAAATCTTCGAACCATTTCAAGTCTCCTGCTCATGCAAAATCATGGAATTGGTTTAACAAGTTTTTGTTACTGAGCTAATGTGAAATTCAGCTATTAGAAAATTTATTGTCTCAGTTTCTATAGGCAGTTTGCATGAAGAAAGCAAAAGTTTACATGAAGTAATATTGCATATTTTTGTTGCATGCATTCCCTTAGATTTTTATGTCTCCCACCCACATGTTACCCAATTCCCATTTACTAAACTGTGAGAAAAAGCTGTGAAACACAAAAAAGGAAATACCATGGGAGATGTGATTCTTGGTGTGATTCCAATTATTAATAAGCACTAATCAATAATGCTACAATGATCCTGATTACAGATTGCTATACTTTTCCCTTTTAGAACCAGTGTAACAATGATTTTTGATCTATGACTCGAGGATAAACTTTTAACTCAAACATTTTATTAAATAGTTGTCTATGATATATTGCTATATATAAATAGTTTTTCTTCAACATCTAAATTCTTCTGAGTGGAAATTGAAATACCAGGTAGAAGACTTACTTGTGCTTAAAAACAGAAAATGGTTTTTATTTTGTTGAGTTTGGTCTTTAATTCCAAAAAATTAGTGAAAATAAGTTCCTTGGCAGTAAAGTGTGATAATAAGACAAGCCTTATTCCTTTCTGCATGAGAATCTAGAAGAAAATTCACAATCATGCCAGTAACCAAATAGATGTTTTAAACTATGTGCCTAATTCATGTGTTTCCCACCAAAGATTCAGGAAAAGATGCTTGAGAGAAATGGGTTAATGCATAATTAATTAGCATTGAGAAGATTTGTGGATCTTATGATTAATTTTGTGACAATTAAAATGCTGGAAGACATTTACCTATTTATTATTATTCTCCCCTTTCACAGACAATGGTTCATACAACACAATCTAAGCTCCATAGCTGACTTGGTTATTTGGTTCTCCACAAATCGAGGTGTCTGTAATCTTTAATGTATCAGTTAAGTGTACTTGATGAAAGTGAATGGTTGTATCATTTCCCTTCTAGTATAAATTAGTACTGACAATAATTTTGAGTTTATCGAGGGAAATCATGCTTGAAATTAGCCCTTCATCTCACCTACTCCTCTCCCATCTCTATGATGCTTTGAATGTTTATTTGGAAATATGTATGGAATGGCCTAGATCACTGTTTCAATTGTTGATGGCATAGTTGGAATCTCTGATTGTATAAAGAAATGATGGAATTATTACTTTTCCTAATGTCTCATTAAGCCTATGGTATAAAAGGAAATGCTTTTGAGAAGTCTTGGTATTGTTCATTCATATTTACCTGCATCTCATCATTGCATGTTTTATGTTTTTAAACATGCCATAAGGAAAACAAGTTCTTGAAATGCATGATTTATTAGTTTTTCTCTCCACTCTGCATTAAAGTGCCAATGATTTATCAGTTCTATTTTTCTATTGATTCATTCATCTTTGAATAACAAATAGCATTTAGTGTTTCTGTTGAATGCGATCTTGTGCATGGATTTATGGATTTCAAGTGAAATTGCTATAATTTTAGTTCTTTGGTTTGAAAACTCAACTGAATACTGCTGTACAAAATAGCTACTCTCAAGCAATGTGCTGTAATGGAAGATTATATATAAAGCATATTCTTTTAGTATTCCAGGAACATTGGATGGTAAATATCAATCAACAGTAAGTTTTATTGTTTTAAAAATGAAAGCTTTTGAATATTATTAAAACATAATTTAGCATTCCCAGGAAATTATGATTACAATCGCAAATTTAGTACAGCGATCCCTTGGTGTAGTATAATAACAATAAATAAAAAGTTATTATTTGGCAGAATACTAATCTAGACCAAAAGAAATCTCAAAACAGTAACAAGTGCATTACTGACATAATGTTACATAGCATGCATTGATTTTTCTGTATCTATGGTTACAGGTAATAAATATTTTCACATGAATCGACAAATTTTTCTACAATGGGCAGGCAGGCTTTGTGTCACAAACATATTTTGAAGCCACCAATTATTTTACATTCAGTACAACATACAATTATTTCTTGGCTACATTTAACAGTATGTAGTTTGAAGGCAGCAACAGTTTGTGAGTCATTTTTAACACTCTGTGCACTCCAAAGCATTTGGATAGACAATGAGGTGAGAAAAATTAAACAACATGCCTATACCATTTCAATAATTGAAATAATGGGGTGCAGCCTCGCTTCAGCGTAGCTATATAACTCTAGTTAGTGCTAATGGTAGTTACTCACATTTTCAGTCACTTGGATTCATCGGCACCACTAATAAATGTTCAAATATGAATCAAATATGACTTTTCCCAACTCATTTTCTAAAGATACTGACATGCTTGCCCTTCAAGTACACTACTCCTGGGATTGAGAAAGTAGTTTTTAAAAACCTACTTTGATGGTTTTGAAATCAGAGAAGATATTCTTTCTTTTTTTTTAATGACAGCTTCATGTGAAGAATATATATTTTAAGGAAATTTCTAAATGGATAGTTCTATAGCATATTAAAATACTGAATAATGAATATTAGCTTTATAAAATGGAAACTTTTCTTCTATGTGTGTGAATGAGTGTTTAAGTTGAGAGTTGACCTCTTTTAAATATAGTACACAGAGTGGTGTAAAATTTTAACTGGATGGAGCTCTTAAGTATAAATTAACACTGAAGGTCAGAGGAAAGGGGCAAAAAGATATGCATTCTGGTACACACTGCCAGATACTGTTTGTGAATAGGAGTTCCATGGTGATAACCCTAGATTCACACACTATTAAGAAATAGGAATGGAGATCTCTATGTAAACCCCCAAATTTTAAAAGTTGTGAATGTGTTTTCCCACTTTGGTGTCTATATATTGCATATTTAATGTGAAAAGTGCTGGTCAATGTTCTGTGGTGGAAAGAGATATTTCATAGGAAATTAAAAGGTTACATTGTAAAACAGTTTTTATTTTTAAACAAATTATATTGTGATAGCAGAATAAAACAAAAACTTAGATATTTAGATAGTGCACTGCAGGAAGAAGTGAAAACCCTGTGAGAACTAATAAAACATGTATGCCTTTCCACATTTTGTTCTATTTTCCTTTTTTGAGGGATGAAGAGCAATTATGATTTTCAAGGAAGAAAATGTTTTGAATCTGAGACTGTGTGCTGCTTGAATGAGGCAAGATTTTTAGATTGTTCCTTTCTGTGTTTGTGTTAATTTGTTTACTATTAGTTATAAAATGGAAAATGGACTTTTTGTAGCACACGTAACAAAGAATTGTTTAATGTATATCTTATATTTCATATTAAAAGGTCTAATTCTTGTAACCTATATTGACACTGTAAATTTAAGAAAACAAATTAATAAAAACCTTCAAAAGAGCTTTGATTAGGGGGAAAGTAGACATCATTCCTTAAAATGTCCACTTAAATTTCATTCTATTTAAATAAAGTTGGAGGAAACTCACATTTGAAAGTTTCTATATATTCTTATTGTGTTTAAACAAAGGGTCCATTTAATTACAGTATCTTAGTTTTTTTGAGAAAGTGTTATATACAGTGTCCTGCTTTTTGAAATAAAAGTGTTAACTACCCAATAATGTGTCATTCCTTATTGCTGTTTGAGCCAGAATATCTCTGTAAATGGACTATTCAAGTATTGCAATAGTCAACTTACTTCAATGGATACCCCCTGGGAATTCTAAGACTGCCACCCTGTTCTGTGTCTTTAAAACCTGAAACACTGGGCCGGGATATAGCTCAGTGGCACCGTCCCTGCCTTGCAAGTGGAAGGTTGTGAGTTTGATCCCTGCTACCAAAAAACAGAAAAAAAAAAAAACAAACCCTGCAACATTCAACTTTGGAGTATTTTTTGTCCTCAGTTGTTGATGCAAATATTATTTTGGCAATTTCATAGACTGCAGGAAAGCCAACAAATTAGATAATGAAATTGTGGAGATTTAACTTGAATTTTTGGGATGAAATTGATATCTAATTTTAATATATGTGACAATCTTCCATAAATATCTCTTGCATACTAAGTAGAAGATAGCTGCAGCAATTAAAAAAATTAGAGGACACAATCTCTTCTCTAAATCTCTTCTGCTTTGTATCTGTTGTAAGAGTTAAGTGTATATCAGTGAATAGATCACATGACTGTATAAAGAATTCAAGCAAGTAATACATGACACAAGTTTAAAGGAGGAAAAGACAATTTGGTGGAATAAGTCAAAAGACACCTAGAAAAAAGTAAATCTGCAAATGGCTACTTGAAAAGTCTAGAATTTTATATGGCAAAAGAGGTAGAGTTAAGGAAATTCAGAAGAGAATGTGAGGGAGGCCACACAGAATTGAAGACCTGGATGCATCCCTGGCCCACTCCATACAATCGTTAGGGATTTATAAATGGAGCTCATGGACAGTACTTCCACTTAAAGTTAAAGGAAAAGAAAAAGGAGAGTGAGAAAAGGGAAAGAAAAAGGAGACGGAAGCCAGTAAGCAAGGGACAGAAGAGAAAATGAAGCCAAATTACCAAAGTAGGATTAGGGAAGTAAAAATTAATTTCAATTCAGAAATTGATAAATATAAATAAATAATACTTAGATATTCTAATTTACAAAGCTTCAAAGTAGTATCTTTATCTCCAGATGCCATTCATCCATTTGAGCTTTAACAAAGGGGCCAAAAGCATGCACCAGAGGAAAGACAGCCTTTTTAATAAGTGATGCTTTGAAAACTGGCTATCTACAAGCAGAAGATTGAGTCTAGACATATATCTCTCGCCATATACTAAACTAAAATCAAAATGGATCTGAGGTCTAAATTTTAAAACAGAAACATTTAATCTATTGGAAGATAAAATAAGTAGAATTCTTGAAGACATAGGCACAGACAAGGACTTTCTGGACATAACCCCAGCCACACAAGACATCATACCAAGAATCACTAAATGAGATTATAGCAAATTAAATAGCTTCTGCACAGCAAAGGAAACAACCAGTAGAGTGAACAGTTGATGGAATGGGAAAAAAATTGCCACCTAGTCCTCTGACAGAGGAGTAACATCTGGAATACATAAAGAACCCCAAAAAATAAAATAAAAGATCACAAAAATTTTTAAAAATCCAAAATAAAAGACCCAATCAAAAAATGGGAAACTGTAATAGACACTTCTCAGCATAAGTGCAGGTAGTCAATAAATACATGAAAAATGTTGAACATCTCTGGTCTTTAAATAAATACAAATTAAAATACTGAGATTCTGTCCTACTCCAGAAAGAATAGCTATCATCAGAAATCAAATAGTAACAAATGCTGGTGAGGCTGCAAAAAAAAGGAACCCTTCTACAGTATTGGTGGAAATGTAAGCTAGAACAACTATTATGGAAATCAACATGAAGATTTCTCAAAAAAGTAAAACTAGAAATTTCATTGGATCTAGCTATTTTCCTTCTAGATATCTTCCCAAAAGAGTTAAACATTATATTACAGTGATTCATGCATACCCATACTTATAGAAGCACAATTCATAACAGCTAAATATTGCAAATGTCCTTTATGCTCATCACTGGATGAATGGTTAGAGAAAATGTGGTATTTGTACACAGTGCAATATTACTCTGCCCTAAAGAAGGATAAACGAGTTATTCATAGGCAAATGGATGCACCTTGAGACAACATTAAATGAAACAAATCAGACACACAAGCATACTTATTACATGGTTTCTGATATATGAGAAACTCAAAATACAAACAAAGAGAAAAATAAATAAAAGATAATAGGAAGTAGGGAGATCTTTTTCAAATGAGAAAGAGAATAAGAGACAGAGGAAGGAGAGGGAAAGGGGATGGAAAAATAAACAATTGAAAGAAAAAGTGGAAATAGAGCTTGTTCAGCAAATGGGAAGGGGGCCAAGACATGGGATGAGTAGGAGTGGATAGAAGGGCAGGGGATGAAAACATAGTTAAGGGTTGTTATGGACCTGTACCAACTCCCCATGATAGATGTAACCATCATGTACTGTAAACATACTAATGAAAAAGAAAAAAACCTATGTAACTTTATAAACTCCCTAGCTCCAGACAACTAAGTACACAATATTACTTTGAAAATATGTTCACGATAAATGTGAAAAATGAAGAATTAAAAAGATACATAAAATGATACAGATTAAGTGTTCATAACAGAGCAAGTCTTTCTGACAACTGAAAACCAGGGCAGAGTCACCAGCAAGCCAAAATGTCTCCTCTCTTTCATCCCATTTTTCTTTACAAACATTTATTACAGAAAGTCAGTCAGCCTTAGAAAAAAATCTGATTAAAACTCTATTAATGACAACTGTAATAACACTCAAGTTATTAGATCCTTTAATCCAGTAACCTCCCCATTCAGATACAGCAGAGAGGGCCGGGGATTTAGCTCAGTGGTTTCACCGCCTGCCTTGCACAAGGTCCCGAGTTCAATCCCGGTACCAAAAAAAAAAAAAAAAAAAACAGATACGGCAGCAGAGAAGATGGCAGAGCTCACCTGCCAGCCAGCATTTCCCCCACCCGGCCCTTTCAGAGGCTATTGTGGATTTTGCAGAAGGGAGGCACTGCACAGACTCTTGGCTATGAAAAACCAAAGAGGCTGAAAAAGCTGATGTGTGGACTGATGAGAGCCCATCTTGCATTAGCAACCAAACACTCACAGGAGGAGGCAGAGAAGAACAGAGGAGTGATGTAGAACTATGAATCGCTCCTCCGTTTAGGTGGATGGGGTTTTTAAATTCCACCGACACCTTACCCAGCACAGGCATCGACAAGACTAGTTGTATCAATGAGAGTAGAAGCCGCTGCTTATGTAGCAGTTGCTCTGTTCCAGGCATGATTCCACACCGAAACGAACTAATTTCAGTTCTGTGATTACCAACACCATCCCCACTGCACACATTAGAAGATGGAGTTGGAGAGATGTTTTTAAATTTTTCTGTAACGTAGTCAAGAATGAAGCCCAGAGACCCAGCCGCCCAGGTTTTTCCATAATCACTATGATATAGGGCTTCCTCCCACCTGGCCTAGAGGTTACACTGAATCCAGTTGAATATAACATGATAATAAACAGACTCGTGAACTAATTTATAATAGAGATAGTAAATAAAAACTCCTGTCATAGTAAAAGAGGAAAAAATTTAATCAAAATGATGAGGAATTTCATTCATGTTAAGGGAACATTATTGAAACTCAAAACTACATCATGAGTATAAATTAAATGGGGACATTGTAAGAAGAGTTTGGGGTTGTTCCTTATGTCAAATATGGCTTGGAGGTAGAGGTGTACATCTAATAACAATCATACCATGTAAAAAATTACAGCAGCAGCTTCTGAAACTCAACAGGCAATTTGAAAATCATTAGAATAATTTGATCAATCACTAGTACTAAAATGTATATGATTTGAGTAATAAATAGATACATAAGTATATAGATATTTTCCTTGGAGAAATAAAAGGATAATGTTAACAATTTTGAGTCATAGATTCACTTATAAGTTTAAACAGCTATTGGATATTTCAAACTTCGGCCCTCACACATTGGTTTCTTTTTCCACTGTATATCTGTTAAACAATGCTCTTGGCATAAAGCCTCTCCAGCCTTCTTTCATTTTACTTTATATATGTTTCCTGGATAAATATTACTTGCATCAACGGCTTTAAATATATCTATATAGAGAATTCTTAAATCTATACCACAAAGCCAACGTATATTTCACTGCCTGTTCCTACACCCTTACTTGAATGCCCCACAGGCCTATTAAATTTAAAAACTCCACTATAAAATTTAGCTCAACTACTGGCATCAACTTTTTCTACCCAGTGAGTTTCTCAGTGAACTTAGCTGGTTCCCACATTTGGACTCAAGTCAGAGTCCCAGGAAGGCCCTCAGTCACTCTTCTAGATTGCCACTCCTATCAGTCTCATCCAGCCTACCATCTAAAAGTGAATAAAATCCATTCACTTC